TCCCGATAAACCAGAGCGACAAAAGCGCATTTGGCCCACCACAGGCTGCGTTGGCCAACTGCACAACGCCTTGTCGACAAACGGAAGCTGCTATACGAAGGAGCGCTGACTTCCAAATGTAACCCGGGGCTCTCCGCTGGATTTCCACTGTCCTGCGACACCCACGCCTCTCATTGAGCATCGACGTCAACCGGCCAGTCCACCTCAAGCCCACGCCCCGCATCTACTCCCCGAAACGCGAACGAGTTTACAAAAGCATGAGCCGTCCTGAAGCGCAGCTCGCATTTGTCGCTGCGTCTAGGCATCCCAACTGAAGAGACTACACCACACCAAGAAAGCTGACACGGTCGTACTCTAACAGCATGAAACGTGCTTTGCCGGAGCGAGGACATGGGATGCGCAACGCCTCTGGAAAGGCCTGACACAAGGAGATGGCACCCTGCTTGGCTGGTAAGTTACCCTGCCGTCTCTCTTCGAAGTCATATACTCATCATGCGGTCTGGCGCAGCTCTCAGCTCTCCTCATCCTCTCTCTTTCGCATGGAACGCTATCGAAGGCGATGCGACCGCAAGCCACGAACACCGCCATATCTCCACCCCCTACGAATAATCAGGCTCGTCTTCGTGATGATGCAAAGCTAGACGCGTAGCGATATCGATTGCGACGCTCGAATGTGACGGGTACAAGGTCAAACATCAGAGGAATCTTGGAGGATTCGCGGCTGCAGTTGCGACTCGAGCAAGCCCTGATACGTGGCCTGTAGGCTGTCGCATGGTGCCGGCTATCGCTCGGAGGTCGAATGCAGATTGGAATACCCTTCCGCTTCTGGCACTCACGCCGACGTACGACCACCGCTTCCCTAAACGTGAACGAGATCCTCCGGTATAGGGGCACATTGCGCCACACTCCGGTCGGCCACAGGCTCCTGGATCTCATCTACAACGCGACCTCGGGCTCATCACGTAGGCGTAGACGGAAGGTCAGGAAGTGGTGAGCCTCGGCACGCACGAGGTAGTTTGAGCAGGCCTTCTTACTCTACTTTGTCGTCTTTATGGCTTTGCAGCAAGTATTGCGCTTTCGTCATGAACGACAACTTACCGAACATAAATGCAACATCAGGTTCTCCATCAATCATCAGCTCCATGCCTGCTGCGCGATAGCTGTCAACCATGTTTACGTTCAGTCTAAATCTACCGAAAAATATCACACTATAGGAAATGTAGCCATTCGAACATCGATTAGCAATTGTTACGGCGTCTACTTCATATTAATGAGCCACCCATCCGAAACTCCAATGCAGCTTGACGACTCCCGCGGAACTCTCGACTCATTCCTGCAATTCTGTCATCGACCAAGCTCTCATTCGCTGGAATGACCGTGTAGCCAGACATGCGCAAACCTCACTCGATATACCAAACGCGACTAGCCTCTACTTACTTCCTTCAAATCGAACGTCTGCTCGTACTTGGTTTTGTTCGTCAAAGCATGACGAGTTTGGATGGAGAAGCTGAGTAGACACATTACGAGGACTTGTTAGACACCTCATGCTGTGATTATGTACGGCCAAAAGTTAGTTGTGGACGTTGTACTCTTGTGCATCTTTTCTAGCATCGATCACACTGCAAATGGCTCAGCGGCTAACATACCTTCGGTGGCGTAGAACTTTAGTCCAGGATGAACCTACACGTTTCAACATGCTCATAGCTTGCTGCATGCTGTTACTTCTGTGTGTTGGAGCGACCCTACTTCTACAGCCCTAAATCCATATCACGATGCGGTCGTCTTTATCTCGCATGAGTGGGGACCATTGCACAGCTTCCAGAAGAGATAGTGTAGGGAACTTCCTCATTTCACTGCGTCCAGTCGTGCATTGACATACTTTAAAGCGAGATGACATAGCCTCTGCCCGGATAAGATTGCCTGAAAGTCAGCCATGATCGTTGCCGGTAATGGGCACAGGATTCACATGATAGCGCGATAAGCGATATGTAAGCGATACCAGTAAGCGGGGCCAACCGCGCGACGTCACTTACTCCTTGCTCACCACCTGTGCAGTCTCGTCCGATGCATCATAAAGCCGTTATCCCAACAATTCGCAACATTGGCACCCTGCGAAAGCTTCGATTCGTCGCGATTGTTCCAACAGGTGCATTACCCAGGCCGAAGCCGGTATGAAACGGTCATCGTTCTGTGCAGCCGTGCCGGCACCCTCGTGGGCATTATCGACATGACCACCACCAGTGTAAGAACGTACAAGATACCTCCAATGCACCATCACTGACCATTAGTAGGACATCAAGTTGATAATTGATATCAAAATCACTTTCCTCTCACTTTATATCTCCGCATCGATATTCTCCAAGACGAACCAGACGCCAGCCACCGTAATCCACGACACGAACACCAAGCCCGACGTCCCATGGCGCACGCTCCCACGCGCAATCGGGACTAGCCCGACTACATACTACGCCGGCTGAGGATGAAGAGGAGAAGCCAGTGGAGCCTCCAAGGGATGCGGAGCCGCAGGATTGGCCCGGGGTGCTGAGAAGTCTGGAACGCTGGACCACATCGCGCCTTGGTGGAACGCCGTCTTAGGCTGGATATGGATGATATTGCGTGGTCTATATGCATCATAACGGACGCGCATCTTCAGTCTCCCCTGCATGTCGCCTGTTCGAGTAGCCATCGGGTATCTAGTGATATCCCATTCCGACGGCACGAGGCAGGTCACTGTCTGAATCTCCCACTTCGCCATGCTAACAACGACAGGGCTACGCTCTTCTCGATCGCGACGCAGCTGAGCTCGATTAGCCACCGATACCGCGCCCATGTCATAACCACCCACACCTCAATGGATGCTCGACGGACGAGACGACGCATATTACAATGTACACAGCGTCGCCATACGCACGGAAAGGGACGGAGTGTGACTGAGTCCAAGCTGTGTGCCGGACCATGAGAACATGGCTGGACTTCACGCAGAGTGAGTAAGTCTTCACTAGATGAGCTGTTCAGGTCGGACCGCGGCCCCGCATCAGCGCAACAGGACGGTAGTACCTTAGAAGATAACCGGAACGCAACACTCATCGCTATGGCGCATCCGTATTAAATCTCGACATGGTTATGCCTTCGCGCAATGGTACATGAAACACTAATTCTGAGTCGCCCCGACCATCCAATCGACTCCAAGTGAACGCGCTCTCAACTTGTCCTATACAAAGTTTCAAAGATAGAGCCAACGCCCCTGCTCCGGCAGTATTCCCATGTCCTTTACGCATACAACTTGATACCCTCCAGGTTCACGTCCACTACCCGATCGGCGCACAGCGAGTCGAACAATTTCTCCCTCATATATTTGAGGACCTGCTTTGCTTCCAGAGGAGAGAACTGCTTCTCGACTGGAAGGTTGTTGTTGATGACTCTGAGGACTTTGTCGAACGGTATCTGTCGCGCCTTCGGTTTCGTAATCGCGAACAACGTGTACAGGCCTGTCCGAAAAGCCCGGTAACGCCCTGGTTTGACCAAGCACCTTCTCCGCGGAGACTTATACCCATCGATGGGGGAAGAAGGCTCCGTATCTGAGGGTTGCTCGTCATCTTCGCTGGTAATCTCGACGGGGCTGCTGCCGCGCGAAGAGCCGGAAGACAGGTCTTCGTTCAGCTCGGCGCCTACGGGTGTAGATGTGGAAAGAGACGGAACGTCGGTTTCGCGATCTTGGTCGTTCATCGAGAGGGGCGTGAACGCTCTTACGAGACTCTGTTGACTCTTTGCGTCCTTGTTGACCGAAACCGAGCTCTTTTGATGTTTGGCGATCCCAATGTCATCATCACCGTCGTCGTCGATGCAGATGGGCGCGGCTTGCGTACCCTCAGCAAGATTATCGAGAGTTACTCGCGACTTCAGAGAGGTCGGCGTGATACGAAGCTGGCCATTAGTCCGGAAGCCAGCGGTCTTCTTTTCCTTCGGCACCACAGACGGCTGTGCCTACATTTACATCAGCTCCATGCTACCGGCAATGCTCATGTCCTTGACGCATAATACTCACTTTCTTGCGCAGTGGAGGATTCTTGATCAGGTCTATCCGACTGCGTGGCGCCCCGTGTCCGGAACGCGCACCGGGTGTGCTCTTCTCCTTACTCGCCTTTGCAGAACCAGTCGCAGCTTTCGCATTCGGCAACAAGGACTATGTCGTCGATCAGAATATACTTGAAGCTGATGGAGCTGTTTGTATACCGGTTTTCGGATTCTGAACCCGTACTTGCTCTACACAACCTGTTAGCATTGGGTGGACTAATAGCGAACGAGGGGTCAACGTACCAGCGCCATGCTGATGGATGGGATATATCAAGCAACGATACCTTCGATTCCAATCGCAAGAGAAAGGATAACGAAAGAATTTGCTGGAACGCCATTTTGTTGTGGAAGTGAACGCGCCAAGTCGAGATACCCCTGCTGTCGCCCCGGGTGGAAAGGCCGCAGGAAAAGTGAACGTGGGTCGGACTCGCAGGGCGAAAGGAAGAGCGCAAGGTGAAGAAGAACGTTCAGATGGCCTAGAGCGACGGCCTTAAGATACTCCACACAGTTATAATACTGTCAATACCGCCCGACATATGAACTGCGCGCTCGCGTGCACGGGGTAATGATAAAGGATATATGCAGTGTTCTCAGTATATCAAACGGTTGACGTGGAAGCCATAGTGGATCGCTTCCGCACATTTGTTCAAGAGAAGCGTTCTTGGAGCGGTGACTGTGGTTTCCTCTGGAGCGAGAAAGCGCGCACGGATCAAGGTGCGGAGAGTGGTATAACGAGAGAGGGAAAAGAGGGAAACACCAGTGGGGCAAATCGTGAGCGCCTAGAAGTCAAAATTGTCTAGGCAACAATTCTATACGCACCATCCACGGTGACACGACTCTGCGCTGCGATTCCTTAGCACGCATTCTTACCGCGAAACACGTACTGCGACCTCACGACCGACAGGCGAATATCGCTCACGCAAATCATGACGCCCAAAACCTTGGAGCTCTCGGATATCTTCGAGAGTGCATGGGAGACCATCAGCGCGGCGCTCCCGCCACTCCTGTTGGCAAAGAAGAAGGTAGAGGGCGTGACAACAAGCAGTATGCGCTACATGTTTGAGGGTCCTCTGGGGGTGTGGGATATCGAAGGCGAGCTAAAGGACTTCTTAGCTGCTATTAAGCCAAGGTGAGTAGTAACCCCGTATGAGCAGCATTGAGGACAAATACTGACTGTCTACTCCCACGACTAGGTTTGACGACTGTTCAGCCAAGACGAACGTGAAGACTTCAGTGATTCTCGAGCTCTACCCAGACTTTGCGACAGCCGAGGGAGGGACAATGGCTGCAGAGATCGACGTTGATGGGCGCATCAAACAAAATGTTGCAACGCCAGTGCGAGCGGTTATACATGCGCTTGCAAGATGTGCAAACAAAGCTGATGAAATACTCTTACCCACTCGCGTTGAATACTCCAGGTAAGTTCACTGCGCGACGTGCATATAAAGCTTTTACTGACACCTATATCCACCGGTCCCTAGCTCTAAATTTGAGAATGTCAAAACGCGCCCCAAAGGCTCTGAGCCAGACCTCGTCTTCAAGGTCGGCCCCAAAGGCCGAGACCCGGTGCGCGTATTAGGAGAGTTCAAAATGTGTACGACTGTTGATCTTGCCGAGTTGATCTTGGATCCCAACTCCAAAAAGGCGAAATCATTTCGCAACCTTCTTGGTAGGTTATCACATATCTCCACCAGTCCGCACGCATTGTCACAACAATCATCGGAGGTCTCCGATCGAGCTAACCCCTCATCACAGGGCAACCAGGTAGGGATATGCGAGAAGCCAAGCTCAAGTATGGATTTATTTCCACTTACAAAGAGACCATTCTTCTCAGGATCGAACCGAACCAGTCTAATCCAGAAGAGTATGCTCTGTATTACTCACGCATCTTCCACGATGACATCGCGACTCATCTGGACAAGAACACCAATGTACAGGAGTTTGGTACACGTTTCGCAATTTTCTTCCTGCTACACAAAGTCGTCGTCGACGGTGGAGGTAAAGGCTACAGGCTTAAAGGGACCGAGATCCCGGACCAGAACCAGTGGTTCTCTACGAAGCTCACCGACAACGACGTCCCAGCGCGTGTAGCGTCGCGCTATGTTGACACACCTTCACCGTCATACTCCAAACCCAATCGGCGACTGCGTCCCAAAGCTAGCTTGTTGGACGTTATGTCACCCCATAAAGCTGCAGCTTCCTTCAAGAAGAGCATGCAAGTGATAAAGGATACCTACAAGCGGACCAAGCAGAACAACAGCCGGTCACCAACGCCCAGGTCTCCGCCCGGGGTCAGCTTTGCACCCCTTCCCAAAAGCGCCGAGTACTCCGAGGTGGCTGGTAGCTACTATGACGACGGCATCGACGATAGCGAGTACCGGGATGATGATCATGCCCCTTCTGAAGATGATGAACTGGAGGAAGTTCACGAAGTGGGGACACCGATTACGCCACTGCCACTGAGGAGAAGTGGGAGACTAGGTGGCAAGTAGCTTGAGAGTATCAGATCACCGTCCGTTAGAAGGGATTGACAGTACTGTTAAATCGTAGACGGTCGATCTTCAAATACATGTATGCATTACGGTGGAATGTTGATGCAAAGCAGGGCAACAAAACGCGGTCTAGTAGCCTTACATAGTAGTCTCAATGTGGGTGTATTTCCCAAACACCTTATATTCGCTGTAGTGCAGCAGTAGGTATACATGTATGTAAATGCAAGTAAGAAGACATGACCAGCTGTATATATCATAGTACATATAAACACTTGATATCCGTGCATTGTGACACTTGAATCCACGAATGGATTTCATTCGCGGGTATGTGCATCAATTGCACATGCACAGGCAACTTACTTGCGGCCCGATGTAGAAATCATTTATTAGTCCTCAAGGAATCTAGTACGTTTCTCAAAACTGCAACACTAAGTCATCGTTTGACATTTCCAATTACAATTGCGAGACGACTCCAGGTTCGAGCACTGAGCCAAGAATTTGCCAATGAAGTTACTGACGTTAGGTGACGCTAGATCTAATTGAGCTAGGCCTAGATTTAGCGCATTCCCGACTTGAGCCTGGTCGGGCGGTGCAACAACACACTGAGGCCCCAACATTGATCCACCTCTGCATAACTGTACACACTGCAGTCTAATCCGTTGAAATTGCTTCAAGATGAGCTCTCTTTCTATCTCCAACACTTCAAGCTCCTCCAGCGACTCACCCAAGCCCGAGAGTAATGTCGCCCCTGGTCGCGCGAAACCCCGCAAGTCGAAACCGTCTTCCAAGTGGCTGCGCAACAATCCGTACGTCGGCAAAATGTTTCGCATCACCGACAACTCGCGATGGAAGATTCTCGCACCGCTATCGAAGCTACAATTTCAGGACGTCCACAGTCCTTGCGAAGCGCGCCAGGTCTACACATGTGTTTGCCTCGATGGGCCCTGGAAAGACCTGGGCGAGTGTGTAGTCAAAGTCAAGTTTCAGTGAGTAATGTTTCATATTATTCGGACGTGTTAGTAACAGAATCAGGATGCGCGCAAGTATAGATACGGTTGAGATGTACGAGGGGATGATCGATGATGGGGAGAAGGAGCTGCAGGATCAAAACGACGCCCAAATCGCGTTCTTGTCTGCATACAAGCATCATCTCGAGATGTGCAACGCACCGGCCAGCTCATGCGAAAGCCCCGCCACAAGGAATGAGGTGCAAGCTCTTGACCTTCTTGAGCGCGAAGACTGTCAGCATTCTCCCTGGCTCTATGGTACGTCTATAGGCACGGTGCGCTCGGGTCTGCATCGCGAAGCCATAGTTGGAGGCTACAGTGTCCTCATACTCATGAACAAGCTGCCTGGCAAGACCTTGTCAATGGACATGTTCTGCGAGATGCCTCTGAAGGATAGGCAGTCCGTTCGCGAAGCCTTCAAAGAGGCATGGCTGTAAGTCTTCGTCTCACCAATCCCCTGCCTGTCTTGTTGACTGTTCGACAGTGCCGTGGTGAAATGTGGAGTTGTGCCGACCGATTATGGCCTGCGCAATATCATGTGGGATCAGGAGAATCGCAAGTGGTAAGCAAGGTTTCTATTCTCCAACAGCAAATTGCTGACGCTTGCATTGCAGTTACCTTATTGATTTCGAAGAGATTGACAATCTTCGTACGGACGAGAGTAGCGCTCCCAGCCTGACAGATCGCGAACTCGGGATGTGGATACCAAATGAGCGTAAAGTCGCGGAGTATTTGGCGTCCTGGGATGATTGATCTTCTGGTGTTGGTCAGTAGTCGACTGGAGGAAGGGTGCTCATGGTAAATGGGGTCGATACATCGGGCTGTTGCACTAGAAACTTGAACCTTTGCACATAGATTAGATAGTGATCAATACCCACGCATGCAAGCTCATTCATACGTTATTGATCGTATGAAGACACTGACCGAAGACGCATCTATGATGAACTCATGAAGTTCGAAATCGCCGCGGAAGTCTTCCTTTTCGGGTGCTAGCGCGGCCGAGAAAGCCCCGACCCCAATCCTTGTTCAACGTCGCGTCACAACCTCGCCTTCCCCTTCGCAACTTCCACCACTTCCTTGGCTCAGAAGCCCCGCCTCCAGCGACTCGTCGTGAATCACCAACCGACACTGGTACTGCTCTGATGTGCTGCACTCAGTCATGCCTTCTCGACCAGACATCAGTCGTCAATGACCTTCGTACCTAGTTGGCTTCAACACGTCACCGCGAAACCCGACTTCACCCGCATAGCCATCGCCACAGATTTTGTGTGTTAAAATCTTCTTCTGAAGTGGCTGTGCAGCGATGAATCTTCGTGCAGGGTACTGTCATCTCCACACCGCCAGCTACTCATGACGTGCCTGCTCGGAACCAGCCATACAAAGTGCGACTATGCTATGGAGATTAAGGCGAACGCAACGAACTTTGGAGATTATAGATCATGAGACGCGAGGTGGTAGCGGTGAACGGCACATGTATACCTAAGTATATTCCTCGTCTCGGCTCCTCAATCGTCACATCCTGTCTTCCTTGTCCTCCAGCCTGCTTATCACGCAATACCACAATGGCCTATGAACGATGAGCTACATGGCATTTGTGCCTCAAAGTAATTGATGCCGCCAACATCTGCGTCGTATTTTGCTCCATACACTCAACTGAAGTTAGACAGGTGAATACTCACCAAGATAATGTGTGCATTAACTTGCAAAAGATGCGACACGCATTGGGGCCAACCTTGAGAAAAGACGAGACGAGCGATGCCGAAACCCCATACGAACGATGTTGTACAAGAACCCACAAAAGAAGCATCCACCAGTACACCAAACCCAACGACCTTTGAGAACCCATACCATCTCCTACCAACTCTGAAGTCCTGCCCGCTCCATACAGCCAGAGCCCGTCTTTCACGGCTGCAGCATGTTTACGACCCCTCGCGCCTTCGGTCGAACTCGTCAACGCAATGCATGACTGCAGCTACACCCAGCTCGGCGCACGAAAAGATCGCCCTTTCCTTCTTCCAAAGGCGCTCGTCCATCCTTTTCGTCTTTTCAACCTCATGCGAGCAATGAAAGTCATGGAAGTACCCGCATATCTGGCAAGGCAGCCGGGGGTTGATGTTGTTATTGAACGCAATTCCAGGACTTAGGTATGGGAGACCTTTTCGGTGGGGTGCGCTCGTACCCTGCGGAATGTCCTGCTCCATGGATTCGTTGATGAGCTCTTGTTTGGCGCGCTGCATAGCAGGTAGGTGAGCGAACGACTTTGCGAGGCCGTCCCGGCGGTCTTTCAACAATGCTTGTTGGCCTTCATGATTCCACCCCATGAACGTGGAGCGGACGGTGACCCAATGCAGTTCTCGCTTAGGCCGGGCGACCTTGGATGGAAAGACCACATAAGAACATCGGGGAAGGACTCTCTTTTCTAGGCCAAGGTCTTGCACAGTCTTCTTCAACGACCCAACTAGATCCGTTGTTAGTCAGTGTTCTTCGAAGGGTGCTATGGTGAACTCACGAAATGCCTTGCATCCTTCCGGTGTCTCTAGATTAGGACGGGTTTCGGCATGTACGGTTTCGGCATGTACAGTTTGAGCAACAAGTTCGAGGGCAATCTCCGGAGGCGATGCTCGCACCTCATGCCAATGAGCCACACCTTGAAGGCGGATCTCCCTTGGTAGCAGCTTTCGCAGCGAATTGATTACCCCCCGTAGCGCTTGCATCGTCGCATTCATCTTCGGCACATCTTTCTTGAATTTGACTTTGGACCTGAGACTTACAAACCTCGGACGGAGTAGTCCATACGTTTGCCATCGAAGCGCTCTAGTTACGTCGTCAATGTATGGGTACCACTGTCTTCCAATGCTGGAATTCGGGTCGCTTTTGGCCCATTCGGCGTTGAGATGAGTGGTAGATGGCGATAGATCTAGATGGCCCTTCTCTTTTACGAGCGTCTGAATGGCCCTCCCAACTGAAAGAAGCGTATGTGCGTCTAGCGCGAATCTTCCGGCACTATCTTTCGGATCGTGTGGGATTGAATCGAGGTTGACGCTCGCCGTCCATGATGGCAGATCCCGCACAGCATCAATACCAAGACTTGCTCTGCACTTGCATGGTATGCGGCCATTTGTAGTATTATTGCCCGGGAAAAATTGATCCAAATGTACTGAGGCGATACGTTCACAAACTGGACATACTGCTCTGCCAGTAGGGTGTATGAAAGGTACAATAGGTTTAGGATGCAGCGAGGACAAAGGGCAATCAGGAGATAGAGCAACGATTGGGGGCGTTGAAAGTGTAGATTTGGATCTGATAGCAGGCAATGAGCGAGATGGGCGATAGGATAGCAGGATTGATGGGCAGTTTCTTCGATGGAGTGATACAGAATTTAATCTTTGTATGAGCGCCATTGGTAACAAGGTTATCGTGAATCGTTCAAGATGCGTATACAACCCAACTCTCTGCTACAGGTACTTTGTTGTCACCCAAATACCTGATATCGCTTGCTACACCTGCCACCAACTCTTTGATGAGCTGTGGCGAGAAGCAACTTGCGCTGTCGATATGCGACTTTGGAACTGCGTCGAATCGACATGCTTGCTACGCGTCTCGTCTGGAAGCATTCCTTGTGCCAGTGCTAGACCCGCCTGCGCTCAACATGATTGCTCTCGTCAGATCTCAACGCATTCTTTGGGCGACGATTGACTTTGCTTGAGTTTGACATGTTGACACACGCGCGTCGGTGAAAGGTATCTTTGTTCGTGATTCGTTTTGGGACCGCTTTGTTCAGCATGTTTGTGAGGCTACCATTGCGAAAACATGTTGACACCGGTGCTTTCTTTGCCTGGGTTCTAAACACTTGGTATTCCTTCAAGGACACATGCAGACTGGTGTTGACTTTGCTCGGGTGTGGTGGAGAAATCCGCAGGTTGTTGCGGCGTTTGTCGCCGTCTTGCCACCACGAAAGAGTGCTCAATCATCTAAAATGAGTGCTGTAGACTCCACAGTGGGGTGAATTTGCTTCCAAACATGTTCGCCGCTTTGACGAAGTCGCACCGAAATCATGTTTGGTGTTGCAAATGCTGTGCAAAGCACAATGAATTCCTCCGCTCCGCAGCCTAGACAGATCAGTTTGCCCAAAGTAGTCCACTAGCTGATCAACATCCGTGCAGAATGACTTCACTACCGAGATCTGAACAATATCATCGCGACGTTGATGATTCGGGCGCGACCTTTGCTATCACAGTTAACGCGCTAGACCCTTCGCTAGTCTCACCTCTAGCCTATTATAACCCCTCTTACCCTGCGCACCTGCCTGCCTCCACTAGTGCCCACGTACCTCACCTCCCTAGGCATTAAACCTCAACTCACCCCGAACAATCTTCGCGCTCATGGCATCCTCCCGTCTCCTTCGACGTGCAGCACCTTTCTCACTCCCCGCCCGCCTTCTTAACCATCATCGAATGTCGACAAACAAGAACGCACGTCCACATCTACCGACGCTAGGTTTTGGCAGGATGGCTGACATGAACGAGAAAGCACGTCACGTTGGGGCCCAACAGTATGCAGATTTCTCGAGGTGGCGAGCTAGCAACGACAAGCAGGCGCTGCCCTTCAAGCAACAGATTTGCGAGTTCTTCAAGGTCGATGTAAGAACTACGGTGTACCCGCTGCTTTGAAGAAACGTACTGACATCATGTGCCCTTGCCTCAGATCGAGGATCAACAGAAGTTTGGCGACATCTTGGATGAATACGTGAAGAGACAGGATGAATACGCGTCACGACGGGTGCCTCACTTGGGCGAAGGGACCGATATGGACAAAGTGCTTCGTATGAACTTCAACCGAGAGTCGACAGTCACTTTTATGCGGGATGTTGAAATGCAGCTGTCCAGCCGACATACCTACGGCATGGGCCACCACAAGAACGTTGATCTTTATCTAGAGATCCTTCCAGCCGAGCTCACCGCTCATTACGCTCCTTCAGCTATCAGCGAGATTAATCATTACTCCAACGCGGTCTCCACCCCGTTCATATACGCCAAACATCATCTGGGAAAGCCACACGGCAGTGACGATGTCGCCCGACCAACACAGTCTGGAGGATCGTCTGGACCCTTAAATCAGACGCGTCCATTGTGGTTCGAAGCTAACCCGAATGCAACCGGGAACGCGGAATCCCCAAACCTGTACAAATCGAAGTTGGTACACATCGGGATCATCAACGCCGAGGAGCACACTAAGGACCGCGGCATCAACACGCAACAAACACCATACGCCGCCGTAGGACAAGTTGAAGACGACGGTCATATCAGTGGCATCTACGCCATTCCTCTGGATCTGAAGGACGACGAAGAAGAGCACGACATGTCGCCGTCGAGGTGGTACGATCTAAATGACCTTTGGAAGCCAGACAGGGTTGGTGTCTACTATCTCGGCAAGACGCTCGAGGAGTGCAGGAACAACAAGTGGGAGTTGGTGTCTGACGGCCCGGTCGAAGTCATCCACATACCGGAGGACGAGTAGTGAGTGGACTATCCGACCTTTGTTGCACGAAGCGCGAAGAAGACATGCTAACCCTTATCAGAAGTGTGGCTATGGTGACGAGGATGTAGTCTTATGGGTCTGATGTTTCTTGGTCTTGTGTTCTGTGGTGAGGCGATGTCGGAGTCTGGCGCGGTCGAAAGGCTTAATGTTTTTTTGTTCTTCTCGCAAGACCCTTTACTACGAGGCACCACTCCCAGCTGGCTGTATCTGTTGCGGTCAGCATTGTCGAGTTGGTGATGGCGGCTTTGGGCGATAGCGAGAAGGTAATAATTTTGATACATGCGATGGTTTTAGGGATGCAAGGATAGACTCCAGTAATGAACAGCTCGCCCAATCTTGTCAGTCGTGCCTTGGTCCTGAGTAGATGTAGCGAGAAATTCCAGTGCTGCATGCCTTATCAGCGCCAGTCCAGCTTTGGGTGTTACCTCGGTGCATGGGCAAAGTAGGTGTATATTCCAGCCAATTGTGATCTCGGTAGTCTGGTCGCTTGAACTGGTGATGTATCTCCCTGGAGGAGATATTGCCTGATGTGAGACGTGTGGCTTTTGAAGGCGTGGGTTGCACATTGTCCTTGTGACGTTGTCGGCGCTGATCCAAAGTCTAGTCCTATCCAGCAGGGTACACGAACGAATCGAAGTCCAACGTCCACATGCTCCATTTTGCTGACGATACACGCATTGTAAGAGTGAACTCCACGTATTGCGATACTCAGCTGCTGAAGCGCGCGCGCGTTGATCGGATTTGACGCGCAGTCGCCTCCTGCCCTCACCGAGCGGCGCGCACCTTCATGCCCAGCTTATCTCTCCTAGACGAGGAGGCCGGGCCCATGTAGATGTGTAAGTGTTGTCATCGCGGCGCAGCTATACTGAAGAGCTGTCTTTGAGTTGAAGACTTTGCGTACGAGAAGGAATTGCGCGTATTGATGAATGTTGTGAGTTTTGACGAGGCTGGCGATCCCAACACGGAGCTATCGCGACATGACCACTCCCGCGGCGATCTCTTGAGCGCCATTGGCGGAGCGCGAGTCAGCCCGGGAACTTCACTACCCATCACCCACGGGGTCTGACGTTTCCCACAGCCGCCATGCCTTCTCATTCAACGATCTCGGACCAGAAGGAGCTTTTCTGTAGAAGTGATGTTGCACCCCTTACGACTCTGATCAAGATATTGGCATGAACATTGTCCGGCGTCTGGCGATAGGAGAAGCATTACGTCGCATGTAGGAGTTTTTGCACTTGTGCTGGCGATGCATGGAGTGCGGCACATCGCGATGGTGTAAAGACCGAGTTCACAAAGCTTGGATTTGTTCGTGCTAAGACGGAATTAGCCTGATGAGCGGTAGCAAGACTGCACCACATGTGGCGTGCTGCCGCGCTCCTTCCCTCCAACCTTCAACACACCAGACGGGCAAGGAACGTTTTACTGACACCACTAAGTTTACCCGGGCAGAACGCCATCCCTAATTTTTTAAAAGTCTTTCTCCTTTGAAATGTAGCCGAAAGAATACTTGAAGTTGACGCATACATCCCATCCCGGAACTGATAATTCATGTGTGTAGAAACGCAGCCATGGCACAAAACAACCACGAAGTAGTAGACTAAGAGAATGATATAATAAGCACTACTATCACTATTTGCTGCCTATATCTAACTCAGGAAGTTTTAACCTCGACATGAAGGACGAAAACGGGCATCACATCGCAGATGCACCACGGCTAAGATGAACCTTGGAATGATCACGACAGATCTTGTCAAGCAAGGTTTTCACTAACCAATTAAATATACATAGATATGGATGGGTGTCATCATGGTAGTCATTATTCGTGTCTTTGTCTTCCGTTTGTCTTCTAGTATGATCCAATCTGCGCACCGGGCGCGGCCTCGATATCGATACAACCATGAGCCTGCGTCTCAGGGAGCCTGAGACTGGAAATTCCAAGAACATCAGGCATGGCAAGGTCGGCAATGCCAGGATAGCCGGCGAGTCTGCGCTGCGTAACCCCCCACCTTGAATTTGTCCTTTCCGATCCCGAGTCCGTCCTTCCTCCTAACATGATCAAAGAAGTTGTAACGCGGCCCTGCGCTCCTCTTAGCTTTCTTCTTTTCTTCGCCCTTCTTCTGTTTGTTTTGACCCCCTCCCGTAACCGACCAGATGCCGTTGACGACTCGCACTGCCCTCTTCATTACTTTCTACTTCTCTTTGTCCTTTGTGTTCTTCATCATCCTTGCCTGTATGGCTGGCGTGGCTGGAAGCGCCGGGGCGTGGGCGTTGTCGATGGTAGAGGGACCGGGCTCGGGGGAGGCCTCGGCTGCAGTAACGACGTCCATCTCCTCATGCTCGCGCTGCGCATGCCTAGCCTCGTACTCCTCGATCGAGACATCTCCTATCACGCTCGCGATCCCCCAGGTCGACAGCCACTTATTGCCGTTCTCGTCCACCCCAGCCCATCGCACAAGATACTCCGGTTCGTCGGAGTTCTCTGGGTATCTCTTATCGATCAGGCAGTCGACTTTGTAGGTTTCTTTGGTGTAACCCGCCGGGATTCGAAGCTTCGCGCGAGTGCGACGAGTGCGCGGCTCATTGAAGCCGATGCCACGAGCGGCTGAGAAGCGCACCGAACGGCACGTGGACGCGGTGGAGCTGTCAGCTATATACACGACGTTAGTACGACGATCAGGTACAACGCGGATGGCGGTAGCGAGTCAGAGCAAGGGTCATACTGTCGCGTGTTATGATGGCGGGGTACTAGGTGTCTATTAGGGTTTTAAGTAGTAATCTTAATATATATTCTATAGAAGCGAAGGTAGTAAAACTATAAGTATTAATTTTATAATACTATAGTTACTTATTTCTAGAAGTAGAAATTTTGCGTAAGCTATACTTAACTTTTTTTTTATTACTATAAAATCTTTACTAATATTATTATATTTACTATTTACTATAAATTAAATACTTTTTACTTTTTTAGCTTATTTTAGCTATAATAAGTTTAGTAATATAGTTATAGTTAAAAATAATTTTAGCTTATATTACTAACTTATATTAAGTATAATTTTCTAGTTAGAAGCTTAGTATAGCTTATACTAATTAAGTATTAAAGTAATTATTATTAAGCTAGTACTTATATACACTATAAAAAATACTATTTTATATTTTTTAAGTAATATTATTTTATTTATAGATAAAAAAATAATAGTACTTAAGATACTTTTTTAATATACTATTAAAGCTTTTAACGCTAAAGCTATAACTTTTATTATTTATTAATAACTACTATTACTAAATATTAATAATAATTTAAGCTACTAAAATTACTAAATACTTAACTTATAAGCTAGAGAAGTAATAAAATAAATAGAAGAATTTATAGATAAAAGGTTAGAATATATAGAGAAGGATTTAGTAGATTATGCTGTAGAGAGACAAATTGATTAGTGCATCCTAATGCCTGATACCTCCGAAATGATACCAGACACCATGGCGGGGTAGCGTGGGCGCTACGCTGCTGGTCTGGCTGAAAGAGATCGCGGTTGGGCAGGAGATTTGCCTGTGTGCGCTAGCCGAGCCTACGTCAGATGGTAAGGATACGCAGCACCTTCTTCCAACGACGACACCGGCAAACGCGGAAGCAGCATGTATTTTATCGCGGCAGGCATGAGAATGACGACTCATGTACAGATTTCCACCCTCACCCAGAACGGAAAAGGCTGACGTCGTTTCTGATTGGGTCCTTGTCTATGCAGAGGTCTTGGTGAGCTGCGGCGGTTCTGGCCCAAAGTCTCATGGCTGCGCACACGTCTCTACAGCCGCAAAGCGATCCGATCTCCGTCATACCCCAAATTTCTTGTCGCATTGAATATCTCGAAGTACTTGTCCGTTCGCAATGCCAATATTTACCTGTCGTGGTTGTGGTATCGCATGGCACCATTTTGCAGCTCGCCAGCTGGCCCCACGCGCGACGCATCCCGTTTCGCCCGCCGACGCCAGCATGTTCAGGTCGACCGAGATGAGACATTGCACCCGCTAGATCTTCGTCATAGGAGCTCGGTATCATGTCAAAGGTACCATATACTCGTCTGTATAGGTGTTCGTCGATAAACTCTGTCCAACCCGTCCGTCGTCCACAAAAATGCTCGAGAGGCCGAGAACGTGTAAGAGTCACATAAACAGAGACATTAACTCCAGCTTACGTTTCCTTTGGACTTGCCTGAACTCTTATCGTCATTTCGAATTTGTGTCGCTGCGAGGCAAATGTGAAACACTGATTCAACGCCCTTACTCTCACCACTTCGGTTCAGCGCCAGCGCAGTTGCGAGATCAAGCAAGTGGTCGCATCGCACCGGATGTATGGTTCCCCCTATTGGCTAATGGTCCGCCAGCATCGAGTGCAGTACCATTATTCTCATTGTCTACTTATGCCGAGGCGATTTATGGCATCCATAGCGCACTGCGAGCGAAGCCAAAGACCACGGATCATTGCCTCACATCTCATCAATATTCTGACCAGATTACAGACCCAAGGCCGACCTAGACGGCATGATAAATATCGCGTGTTTCCTCCCGGATGTTCTCATCGTGGCATATTCTACGCAATCCCCAGAACGTTATCTCTACCCAGCGGACGAGAACAGTGGCAAGATTTCGAAATCGCTAAACATCAATCGGACCTGCACTGTGACCCTTACGTAAGTACATTATACGGAATCACGTACCCTTCTCCCCTGTGCTTCCCCGCTGACTTCCAAGATCAGGCGCAATGGACAACCGTCGTTCGCCCCTACCTATCTGGCTCGATATCCTGTTGTTCATAAACCTCACGATTGTCATTGTCTGTACCTCCAAGATCTTCCTTCACAGTCTCGGCTACTTGGATGCCCACTATGTCTCGGGGTCGGACGCAGATGCTCGCGTGTTGCTTCTAGGAGGGTTCGTCATGATCCTGGTTGCCATCATGATCATGAGGAGAGCACAAGCTGTCATCAGAGACGTGGAGAAGCTCAAGTCTAGCGTGTCGCTAGCCCGTCGTGAGCTGGCTGTCGCCGAGCGTAATCGTCGAGAGTCGCTAAGGGAGGAAGAGGACGAGGAATTCGAGCTCATATTATCGGACGCTACTACCGATACGATACAGGCAAACCTGAACGCAGTCCGAGCCTATGCCGACGCCAACAACGACATCATGACGATCCTAAACAGGATGCATGGTCGCAAGGACCCCGATATGGCTTCCATCAGGAGTGTGCTCGAGGTCAGAACCACCATCGAAGAGCTGAGGAAGAAAAGTGGCGATGAGTTCGAGTTGTACATTAATCGCTTGGACATCATCCGTTCGGCTTTCAGGCAACGAGACACCTAGGATACGTACCATGTTCTTCTACCCGGACTTTGTTAGCGAGACGAAGGAGGTCATGTTTCCTTTCATACATGTATTCGTGTCTAGGACTTTCCTAGTTACTGCAAAACTACTTAGCTAGCATAGCAAAGATTCTATCAGCGTCTTATCAGTTCTCTCACTGTAACGAATAAATGTCTCCTGTTTTGCAAGTTATCATAGATAAGATTCAGCTACAGCCACTGTACTGCTTTCTCCATACTAGGGTCGTCTTTACCCGAAGTTGCTGCGGAAAAGACAGGAGTAAGCCAAGGAAGATGTTTCTATTGTGATGCATCGTCTTCTCTGCCAAGGGTAATACACAAGACCCTCATCCCTCATATGAGATGGATAGTCCAATAGTCTTCAACCCCACTTCCAACCCAGTCTGAGAAGCGTATGTAAATGCGAGTACATTAAGACCACCTACATGTCGATCGGCCGAGCAATGCGGGAAAGACAAGTCAAGGCTGGTACGAAGGGCAGCTCGGATCGCTACCATTTGACAATGAGGCATCATTTCGGCTTCCTACCACTCTATTTGACATTGACATCGTTGCTTGCTGAGGCGCGGCACCGGCATTGCAATCTTGAGACCGGTGCGAAATGCAGGCCACATCTGAGCTCGTCGAGGGATCATCGGGCTGTGCGCATTCCTCTCCGCCTCTCCCCGCTACCCGACACAATCCACGATCAAGCTCCCGGGCCCATCACCCCAGCGAGGCCAACACCGTGTGACCGGGTGTATGTATGTGCCGTCCTCCTCGTGTATCACCAACCCGCCGGCATAGCAAAGAGCGGCTTCGCTTATTCGGACGTCGTCGAGGGGACAGATTTTGAAGAGGGTCATTGTGGGCGCATCGCGGGCTGGGACAGGTGCTGCAGACAATCGCATGGCTGGCCCGGATCGACTGGGAGGAGGCGCGGATGAAGATTGGAGGCGAGCGATGTGCAGAGGACGGGAGCATCAGCCTCGACCACCAACGCGTAGCGCAGTGAAACCGCTAAGATCTTCGAACGCGAAGATAGATGCCAACTCGCTGTGTTCTACATCTCATCTGATGGCATTAGCTTTGCCCGGCACTGCTCCGATATCTTGTCATCTTGTGGTGTCGGCTCAAGCTCCTGCACCGACCAATCGAGAAAGACTGGCCAAATGTTCCAACGCCAGTAGCCGCGCTTTCTCCCTCTCACTTCGTCGGCTTGTCTAATCTCAGCCGCGTCGAAGGGGTGTTGATGCGGGGTGGAATCGAAGACAGGTGCGTGTGCGTATGCGGTAGAGGGCATGTTGACGGACGATGAAAGACAGTCGCAGCTTGGTACGCTTCTGGAAATCACGAGTCAGTCTTAAGCCAATCTAGATGAAAGAAGCCTGGGCAGTTCGTACCCGTGGATGGCGGTGATATGGCGGTGATATGGCATTGCAGCACGAGCTCTTCGAATAGCAATACCCTCCTCATGGCAGTTGATGCGCCTTCATACGCGCCTCAATACTTACAATGCCATTTTGCCCATTTGAGAACACGACTAGAGGCTGTGGCGCCGTTGGCACTGCTGGGTGTCGTGGTTTGGTGTTGCGATACGCGCGTACATGGCTAGTGACGTCGCATCACGAATGGCGCATCGCAATGTTACGATTCGAGAGAGACGCAGTGATGGTAGTGTAGAGCGAAATTTCAGTCTGGGGTCACAGGTACCAGATGCGCATACGGACGTACGCGGTATCTGCACTCGGGGCGCGGTGGCCTGTGATCTTGCCCGGGTGGAAGCTGACTAGTCGGCACGTGATGATGACAGCTTGGCAGAGTCCAGGCTCCCCGCAATCGAGGCTCAGCGCCTGTGCCAGGTGCTTTCGCATCCTCGTACCCCATCGGCACATAGAAGAACACCTAATCTGCCAATGACGGCGCTGTCACCCACAAACGGGAGCCATTGCATTCTTGTTGGGCGCCGCCCCGGAGGCAAGGCAGCTGACTTCCGCGCTAGAGAGTTCGCGCTGAACTTCAACGAAGGGCGACAGCACTATACCAAGCTCGTTTTTCCGTCTAAGATTTCGGGGGAAGATAGAAGTATAGTAGAATTAATGTTTGCTCAACATTCTGCCCGGATAAAATCGACTGGTCAGCCCCGGCGATAGAGAAGTAAACGGCACGGAAGACGATGAACTCAACGATGCCAATTCACATGCGCTGGAACGAAGTCAAAAGAGTCAAGCCATATTCCGGCATCAAATGTTTGAGAAAGAGCTGGATGCTAGCCCATTTATCACCCCAAACCGTACGCAGAGAAGAGGAAGGTCCGGAGCGCAGCATACCATCCCGATTCCAAAGCCAGCCGTAGTCCACCACCTACAAGTCTTTGATGATGCTCTCCATGAACCACATCATGACAATGAGCGAGAAGAACATGAGAAGCAGGGCCTGTCCGATCGCCACGGCAGCCATGACCATGGCGACAATCGTGGCGAGACCCTGACTGATGACCACGCTGCAGAACATGGTGATAACAACCTTGGCTTTAGCTTTCGCGAGAGCCACGTCCACCTCTTTGTCAAGACATTCGACCCTCTTAGAGGGGACTGGCCTCTCTACATAGTCGTGCTGACCGGCATCTGAGAGTTTAGAAGTAAGCAAACGTATGCAAAAGTGCAGGTATATCGTACCAATCATGGGCGCTACTGTTGGGACGTCGACCGCAGAGGGCACCTTCTCGCCATCATTCTCACACGGGTTCGATGATGGGTGCTTTGCCTTGCCCGCGAGCAGTAGGTCATCGTATGGGTCTCCCTCAGTCTCTGGTCCAATATCAGCTTCGCCATCACGTACGGCTGTCGCACCGGGATCCTCACTTACCATTGCTGGAAGCATGCATGGTGAAGAGCGTGCTGATACGTTCGGCGAGCGGGCTGTCGAACAGCCGGTCAGGATCACCAAGTTTGAAGAGAGGTTGTAACTCATAGACCTCCTCGTGGCGTGAGCTGTTGATATTGTCGACGCCCGACATGACGGTGAGTCGGTAGGACTTCTTGGATTTGGGATATTGGACGTGTAGTGATGAGAGAACAGTGTGAATCTTCGATTTTGAAAAGGGAATAGCTGAAAACAGGTTCTTGATGTCGGGCCCGAAGAAAGAGGACGGAAACTGACTTCTTATCCAGACAGCACTCCACGTTCGGCACTCATTCAAATCGAACCAGCGGTCGTGCTTAGAGACACCCATATTTTGGGTAACGTATGGTCACGCTCAGCGCTATCCGTGTTCTGGAACTTCTTCAATCGACGTTTGGTCCAATCTGCTAGCCGAGACATGAAGGATTCACTCCCGTCTCGATCATGGGAAGCAAAGCGTCCAGGTACCGGACCTCGAACCATCGCTGGTATCATCAAAGCTGCGCGTACTCGGATCGACTCTGATCCAGCGGGCTGCATTATCAGTATTTCTCCGCTCCTTGTTCGCAAAGACCAAAGTGCGATGCGGCGACCATTGGTGTTCGCGCGAGTTGCGGCGTTTGAGGCTCATGCGGCACAGACACGACGGCGTTACACAGGACGCCACTGACCACGCCGATTTTGTTTCGTGTGAAACCTGATACCAGATCCTTCCCGTAATCGTGGCTCCGGGGGGCCCTGTCAAGACCAAAATAAGCAACGCGCCCACGTGCGCGGAGAGAAGTTCCTCGCGAAGAAATGCATGTGGACTGGTCAAAGCCAGTGATGGTTGATCCCTGCGTGCTTCCTTCCGCGAGATCTGCTACTGTCTTCAATTCATCTTCCATCGCTATGGATTGAATCGAAGCATGGATGTACTCGTTCCGCTCACGGATAGACTTGTACCTGGCCATGTAATCATGCTAACTTGTTGCAAAACCCTGGAAGAACGTCTGCGCACAGTGATTGACACTTGAAGCCTCATTACATCACTGGCCATGACGGCATTTCTGATCAATACTATTCTCGTCGCTGTCTTGACAAATAGAGAACGCACAAGCGTATCGTCCCCAGACGCGGTTGCAACGCGGTCCTTTCACAGTGCAGTTTGAAGTATGCTGTAAGAGGTGTCGATAAGGCTAGAGAGAACTTGAGCGCTCGTGATTTGAGTGAGACGTTGTTACACGGGCAGTAAAGAGTGAGCATAGCTTGACTGAAGAATCGTCGGCGACGATGTCTGGGGTTGCGAAGAACTTCCGACGCTCAGGAGAAGTCGTTCCATTGATCTTGTCGATATGAGGGACGTATCAGTTCGTCGTGGTGTACCTGCGCGTTCGGCTGCGGGTGGGTTGAGTGTCTCGCATTTCCATGCGCAGGAGACGCTAGCAGAAGTTCCCCAAGTGAGGAGTTGATCATATTCATGAAACCGAGCAGATCTTGAAAGAGGCAAGCATTACTCAGATTGAACTTCGCATCCGTTAGCACTAAGTCTAAGCTGGTCATTCAATCGTGGAGAAGGAGAAGACCTCGATCTGCCAATTACAATTTCGTAGTGCTACTGGAGACGCAACTTGACATATGTACCCGTTTTGTTGTCATCCCTCACGGCCTCTGTGCTACCCATCTCACTCATAATCCATGTCCTTATCTTCATCCTCAACCTTGAGGACTTGTCTACTGTGTCAATCACGAACCTTCGTCACACCAGTGCCCGCACAATACTGCCGCATCGACTCCTCGGGACGCACAAGCTACTAGCAACATCGCTGCGCCGTACTACATCGACGTCATCTTCACTTTGGCCATGAGTAGCGTGGGGACGTCCAGCTGCAACTACGTCCATGATGACCTGAGAAGGCATTGGCGGAGCCCGATAGGATGACCTGGCGGCGGACATGGAGGCGACATACGTGGTGGTTGGCAGGAACACGGGATGGCAGGCCTGTGTTGTGGTCCGTATTGATGGTCCAGGGCTGCGATGGAGAGTGATGCGACGGTATTCATGGCGGAATGGACGGTCCAGTTGGGTTGGGACCTGATCGAGTTGATGCACCGCCCATAGCCGCGATGCCAAAGTGCGACGGCAAGGGCTCCATCACATCCTTACAAACGACGTTTGGCAAATCCACGTATATCGCATCCTTTGAGGTTGCCGTAACCGTCCCGTTTTCCATGCACCATGATATGGCGGAATCCTTCAAACGCCACTTGTATATGTTCTTGTTCGAAGAGGGAGACCCAGGATGACCGTATAAGAAGTTTGAATGCTAGGTAGCGACTGCGGATCGGGTACGATCGTACGTATAGCTCATCGATGAGAGCGTCCGGCAATGCCATTCGAAGACATGCTCGTGATTCCGCCTATCTCGCCTCCGGCTACGTGTTGAGCTCCATGTTTTACGGAGCGAGGGTGCCCAGGGACTGGAGAGGGAGAATCGGCTGAGGGCGAGCAGTCTGGCTGCAACAAAGTGGGAGCGTCAAGTTGTCGTCGCTTGAGCAGCGCTGAGGCGGGCGGGGTGTTGGTGGGGTGTAGTATCGGTATGAGCGTTCATATGTAGCGAGGACGTCTAGTGGACCGTCTTGAGGTCGAATGCGACATCGGCGATATTTTGGCAATGCTCGTCGTCACTGCCTTGCCAAAGACAAGCGGCATGTCCTAAGGTGTCGTGTCAGTCGCGACAGAAGTAGCTTTGGGGATAGAGCGGTGAGCATGTACCCATTCGAACGTTCAGAATATTGCGATGTCGCCCGCATTATATAGTCATGTAATGCGTGTAGGGTAGAGCGATTGCGCAGTAGCTATCTCTTCGGCGGGTGTGAATGTTTCGTAAGGCTGGCGGGGACTGCTTGAGGCGCGACGCGCTCCAGGGTTGGCGCGCGCGGGGCCTTGGGGGCTACATCATACGGGCCGGCAAGCGTATACAGTAGGAGGACTGCCCGAGCTCTGGCTGCGGTGAGGGTGAAGGCAAGTCATCATGGAGGAGGCGCTGGTGTGGGAGTACAGGTACAGGTGGGTGGTTGGGCGCGTCGCGGTGCTGGCAGTCGCGTTCCTGGTCAAGGTCGGTGTCGTCCAGGTCAGCTGAGCATGTCGTCTCGAAGCAGTTTAGTTGTGTAGGGCAAGCCTAGGGCGAAAAGGCCGTCCGAGTTGGAGTGCAACATTGTCGTTGAATTAAGCCTGCGCTGGACGGGCGAAGCCTGCCGAGGGTGCCAGCGCCCCAACGTTGGGTTAGTGCCCTTGTGCGCCAGTTCCCCCGCCCAAGAGATCTTCTCTCCCCTACAACCATCCGATATCTCGACAACGGCTAGCGGACACGGTCACAGACTTTCGGACCCGGCGCCCGTAGTAGGTATACTTTAGAACCTGGTGCCATTTTGATTTCGGGGTGGCAAGAAAGTTTTGGTGGTAATCACCAGAGCTCAGGCAAGTTGGTGAAGAAAGAGGAACAAGAGTGGGGGAAGGGGCTAATGATGTGGTGCCGGGTTTTAGTACGCCGCTTGGTATAAGCTATTCGAAGTACTGTTCCCGGGCTTTGAAGGTCTTGAGTTGCCGTCAAGGCAAATCTTAGCCTACCGTCTCTTCTCTCCACTCACATCAACCAGCACGTCGAAGCCGAGGCTCCTGTCACCGGGGTCGACTTGCACGTTGGCCGACCTTTGTGCTCGTCTTGATCTTTCTATTGAATTCAAGCAGACTGGAGCGTTGATGTCCGCCAGCATGGCCAGATCGATCAGGTGCTTTCTCATGTTCCGCAGTCTGTGCTCCTTGGCTGCTGGCCCTCTACTGATGTTTGCGTTCACTCCAACATGACGGCAGCGCGAATGTAGGCGAGGCGCTGTATCTTTGGGAATTACCAAGAGATGAATGCTAGAAGGTGCCTGGCAGTCGACATTTGGCAGGGTTCGCTCTGGGGCTGGCTCGTGGAAACCTCAGCAATCTTATGTTGTTCATATGAGCTGATTGCATCGCAAACCCGCAGCCGCGCTGTCGTCTCCCATGACTGAGACGCACGTATACTCGAAGTGGCTAACGGCCTCCTTGCTGTTAACCCATTGTGAATGTGAGGCATGATAACTCAGTCGGAGGATTTTGACAAGATTATTTGAACTACTTTTGGAGAACTAGATTACGCTAATCTGTCTAGAACTTTTGGACCATTCGTGCTCCACGTGCTATACCACAATGTCCACCGAGAACCGCACGAGTCCTCACCCATTCTCCACTGTCTAATGCTTCTCAGCCGTCTTCACCAGCCTGAATACATAATCATAAGACACCCGAGTCCACGGACTGTTAATTTCATGCCGCTTGGGACTGCACCCTGTTCATCCCATCTTCAAGCGCTCCCCAGATCCGATATCAGACGTCTCCGTATGACCAACAATCATGGAACAGACTATCGGGGGGATGTAAAGGCGCTTCATTTGCACCATCCAACCCCATGCCATCAAGCCATTCACGGATGACCTCGAAGCTCTTCTTCGTCTTCTCTTCTCCGCTACTAAGGCTACTCTCACGGATCATTTGGGCGACATTACGGCTTGGGATAGCGGTTTTGGTCCAAATCTAGTCGCCATGAGTCTAGCGGCGGTGGCGGGATTGGCGTATATCTCTTAAGTCTTAGTTTCCTTAACCAGGCCCTTGCCTCATCATGCCAGTCTGCATGGCTCGTCCAGTACCTAGGAGTCCTACGCTGGCTTCACTTCCGGCGGTCCGATTCTGTGTAGTGTGCTGATGATTAGCTGGGCGTCTGGTGCTTATCCTTGGTCGAAGCGCACGTCTTGCAAACCAGCCGACAACGTATGCTCTTGCAGTTGCTTCAGTTGACTTCACGACACGATCGAAGACGTTTGACTGATAACGTCTGATGGGTGTGCTTTCGAATGGCTGAGCTCGTGTATGCTTCGCATCTTGCCCTTGCAGTTGGGAGGGTGTGCCGCGTGCGTCCCGACTCGCATGGTCGGCTTGGACGCTCCATGGTTTCTTGTGATAATCACCCATGATTCCCGTTGTGTCACGCCCCGACGAGTATAGACGGTGGAGATGGGTCAACCTGGGCAATTGCAAACGCTGAATGCACACGTTGGCCACCCAGATCGGGTGAGGTGAACGCGTCGTTACAATTCGCGTGGCCACGCACCTGCCGAAAGCAAAGTCGAAGTGAGCGACGGCCGTTGGAAATTTGCGCTACAATAAGATGAGCTTGTGTGAGTTGATCAATCAATGGAAGCAACATACCCTCGGTAGTTGAAAAAGCTTTATCGGGATAGCGAGGTGGCAGTTCTCGCCGAAGG